GCTTATAATTATTGCATTCTTCGTGGTATAGAAATATTAATTCTGGGAAAAAAACCCAGAGTTAAAAATGGAGTTTTAGCAAGAGGAATAAAGAAGGGAGGTCTAGGATTTCCAAATATAAGAAAATATTATGAAGCAGGAATTATTACGCATGTTATGGCTAGTCAAGTGATACAAAACAAAGAGGAAGTATGGTGGTGGTTGGAACTAGATTATAGCCAACTAAGAAGTAAATTAGAAGTAGTCTGGAGTACAAAAAAACGTAATCTATCCAGATCGTATATTTTAGGACAGATTATTCCTATTTGGCAAAAAATAAGGAAAAAAATAGGTTTGGTAAATAAGATATTTGGCTTTCAAAATTTAGAAATAATAGAATTAAATGTGGAGAGTATATCCTTAAAATTATGGAAAGAAAAAGGAATAAATACTTTGGAGGATCTATTTGAAGGAAATAAAATTAAATCTTATAAAAAGTTAGTTGAGGAATTTAAGTTCCCTGACAAAGATAATTTTACTTATTATAGAGTAAAACATTACTTGGAGAAAGTTGAGGTAGTAAAAGAAGGTAAGATGTATGATATTTTAAAAACAATCTTACATCAGAATAAGACAAAGCAATTGTTCTCCAGATGTGTTAGATTGTTGGATTTAATGGATGATTCTGTTCTGCCCACTGCCATTAAAAAATGGAACACTGAATTAAAAATAAATATTGAATTATTTGAATGGCTATGTATGGCACAAAAAATTAACAAATGTCCACTCCTTTGTATTGATAGAAACACATTTTAAGTTGGTTAATCAATGGTATATGACGCCAACAAAAATAGCTAAATTTGATGTATCAAGGGATATTAAATGTTGGAAATGTAGGGAGGAAAAGGGAAATTATATCCATATGTGGTGGTCATGTAAACAAGTGATTGTTATATGGCGGTGGGCTCAAATTATCATTCATATATTATGTGATGTTAAAATGCCTTTAAAACCTGAAGTAATGTTATTACATTATAAATGGCCAAAATTGAATAAAATAAATCAATTCTTAATTATTCATTGTCTAATGGCATGTAAAATAATAATAGCAAGAAAATGGAAGGGAGATATCCCCTTTAACATAAAATTAATAACAATTCAGTTGGTTTACCAACTAAAAATGGAGAAAGATCATTGCAAACTTTTGAGGGATGATTTGAGCCTATGGGAAAAATTGGAGAAAAAATTATTACAACTGTAAAAAGGAATGTCATTTGAAAAGTTGGAAAAGCTTGAAGTCTGTAGAACTCCGTGGGGTGGTGGAAAGTTTTTTTTTTTTTGTGTGTTTTTTTTTTTGTTTTTGTTTTTTCTTTTCTTTATCTGTTTTTATGTGGATGAATGTATTTTAATTATTCTTTTGTACAATGTATTTATGGTGGAAAACCTGCTAATAAAAAAACAATAAAAAAAAAAAAAAAAGATATGATGTCCATTGAAAGAAGGGAGAGAGATGAGAAATAATTACTTATTATCGACAAACCATATTATTATTTCCATAATCTGAACACTTCGTGATCAATACTTGAATGTTTGAATACATATGTTTAGGGGTATGTATAGGCACCCTCAGGCAGGCATTTACTTATTTTATTTAATTATTTAGTTGATTCCCATTTTTCCCCCACAAATCTCACTGAAACATAAAATATAATTACTTATTAATATAAATAATTCCATATCCATAGAGAGAAGTGAGAGAGATGGGAAATAATTACTTATTACCGACAAACTACATTATTATTTCCATAATCTTGATACGTTGTGATCTATACTTGAATATTGAACACATATGTCTAGGAGTATGTATAGGCACCCTTAAGTAGGCATTTATGTATTTTATTTAATTATTTATTCCGATTTAAATTTTTCTCCCGAAATTTCACTGATACACAAGAAATAATTACTGATTAATATAATAATTCACTTGATTGCTATTACAATTTATTACAACACGCTATATGCATGTGAAATTGGGTACGCAGTATAGAAGTTCGTGTACTCATGTAGTTGCATTTATATTTTTGAGATGGCTAAACTATGTGTTTGTATATCTATATGTATGCACATACATAAGTGTATAGATATATAGATCACAGTTTGATATTTAGTTATATGATTGCATGCGTGCATGTAACCTATTTGTAGATCCACACGAGTACACAGATGCACATATAAGTGTGCATATGAGTGTATATAAACACAAATCCATTTAATTATTATTTTTTAAAGTACTGCTCAGATTCAACTCCTTAAAATTGAAATTGCCTTATTCCTATTTATAATTTCATCAAATCTGTAGGAACGTTGAATGATTACATAATAATGCCACTTGACAGCTTTAAGATATAAAGAATTTCTTATCACTATTAATACACTTGGGGATTGATAAATGTCTGACACATATTATATTGAATGTTTACCAAATTTTAAGGGGATCTGTAAACTTGAAAGTGTATATTAGACACTTCTAATATAGTTTGCTTCTAGATTCTAATCTTATTGACTGGTATATAAAAATACTCGAGTGATAGACTATAATGGCTATTTCATATTTCTGGGTATTATTTAATTACAAGAAGATTTATTACCATTTTATTTATTTATAAAAAAAATTTTTTTATATATTTATTTTAAAAAAATTTTTTTTTTGAAGAGATGGGAGGAGGGGGAGGAGAGATAGAAGGTTAACAAGAGAATATAAAACCCATGATTGTACTCAGTATTCTGTTTTTCTTCACTACCTCTAAACATTTATTAAAAATGAACGCCTCACAGCTCGGAGCCTAATGCCTGCGGATGTTGCAGGACCTGCATGATGGATTTAATGAGTATTTCCACTATGTGAAATGGAGTGAATGGTTGGTGTATGGGATTCTTGTGCGGATTTTGTTTTTTCTCTTTTCTCCTCTTTTCTCCTTTTTTCCCCCTTTCTGGATCACTTGGACCATGGGGCGAGGTTGGGGATGGACATAAGCATAATGGATAATGACTCTAAGAATAGCAAGTTTGAATGTTCAGGGACTTAACTCTCCCCAAAAACAAGGTTGTCTATATAAACTAATGAAAGAAAATAAAATTTATATAATGTATACTCAAGAAATTCACTGGATAGATGTACCAGAAAAACTCTGGAGATTTAAAGAATATCCACTAATTTATGTTTCTAATCTTATGGGAAAAAAAAAGAGGAGTGGAAACAATAATCTCAGCCAGAGTTAAATTTGAATATATCCACAAGATAAAGGATATTAAGGGGAAATATCATGTATTAATTGCAAAGATCAATAATATTCCATATACAGTTGCAAGAAAAAGTATGTGAACCCTTTGGAATGATATGGATTTCTGCACAAATTGGTCATAAAATGTGATCTGATCATCATCTAAGTCACAACAATAGACAATCACAGTCTGCTTAAACTAATAAAACACAAAGAATGAAATGTTGCCATGTTTTTATTGAACACACCATGTAAACATTCACAGTGCAGGTGGAAAAGTATGTGAACCCTTGGATTTAATAACTGGTTGAACCTCCTTTGGCAGCAATAACTTCAACCAAACGTTTCCTGTAGTTGCAGATCAGATGTGCACAATGGTCAGGAGTAATTCTTGACCATTCCTCTTTACAGAACTGTTTCAGTTCAGCAATATTCTTGGGATGTCTGGTGTGAATCGCTTTCTTGAGGTCATGCCACAGCATTTCAACCGGGTTGAGGTCAGGACTCTGACTGGGCCACTTCCAAAGGCATATTTTCTTCTGTTTAAGCCATTCTGTTGTTGATTTACTTCTATGTTTTGGGTCATTGTCCTGTTGCAACACCCATCTTCTGTTGAGCTTCAGCTGGTAGACAGATGGCCTTATGTTTTCCTGCAAAATGTCTTGATAAACTTGGGAATTCATTTTTTCTTCGATGATAGCAATCCGTCCAGGCCCTGACGCAGCAAAGCAGCCCCAAACCATGATGCCCCCACCACAATACTTCACAGTTGGGATGAGATTTTGATGTTGGTATGCTGTGCCTTTTTTTCACCACACAGAATATTTTGCCAGTACTGCTGTGGAACATCCAGGTGCTCTTGTGCAAACTGTAAACGTGCAGCAACGTTTTGTTT